AGCAGCCGCTGCCAGCAGCAGCCGCTGCCTGCTTTCCCCAGCTCTTGGGGGCTGAGATCCGAGGCTCCTGGGGGAGGTGGAGCGGCCCAACAGCAGCCGCAGGGACTGAAGCACACCCTTGGCATCGTTTTGGGATCAGGTCTGCTAGACTCAGGGGTTCAGGCTGCAAGTCCAGCTGAGAAACATGGTGGAATCAGAGACCACTGGACCATCTCCTCTCCCTGATGTTCAGGGCTGGTTTTTGACGGGCTGTGCCGTGCCGGTCACTGCCACAGCTGGGCAGCAGGCATCTTGCTGACTTTTTTTTAATTTTTTTTTTTTTACATGTGTATTGTGTTGCTGCCATATGCTAAAATAAAGCTGACGCAAACGGGGGAGTTCCTGCCTTGTGTTTTGCATTTGTGTGTGCCCGAGCGGGATGTTGGGGCACAGCCAGCGCCAGGACCACGGGCTCCTCCCGGCCGAGAGCTTGGATCCAGCTCTTCCATTGGGAACCATGGGCAAAACCTCTCTCCGAAGAGCTGCTCTCTGCACAGACTGAAGCCTGCATGACTGTTCCTCTGTGGGACTGGCAGCAGTACTTCAAAAGGAGAGGCACTGAAATTTTGACCCAAAAATGGGATTATGAAGGATTTAAACCCTTTCTCCCCCTCTGTGTTCAATGAGCCAAAGAACGAGCTGATGCTAACACTTGCTGCAACGGTGGCAACGTATGAAGGAGAGACAAGTGCATATCACCCTCCGAAAGCAGGCGGGGATCTTGTATTTAAATAAAAAAAGCTGATTTTCACTAGCAAGTCCCTTTGACTGCTGTCCTGTGAGCTGGAAGCAAGCACCCCGCTCCCGCAGTGGCCAGGGCAGGAGAGATGGTGGGATGCGATGCTCACCTTGACCCAGACCCACAGCAAACACCTCCAGCAGCTCCGAGGGGCTGCTGGGTGCCGCAGCTCCTGCATGGCCGGGCTTTCACCGAGCCCGGCACACCTTAAGCCGGGATTCCCTTGGCAGGGAGCATTCCCATGGCACTGCAGGACATGCAATGGGATCCACTGCAGCCCCTTCCCGGCTGCGGCAGCCTGCTCCCTTGCTGACCCTCTGCTTTTTTGTCCTTGCAGAGGCCGTAGCAGATGATTACGTGACGGTGTACGCCCGAGTCGGCCCTTCCCCGCAGGTGAGTTTGTGCAGGATCATCCCCATCCTCCAGATATGTGGCTGGGCCAGGCTGTGCATCTGGGGGGTCCCTGCACGGGACGGGGATGGCCGGGGGGCCACGTGGTGGGGACGGGGAGGAAGGACGGCAGCTGGACAGCCCCGGGTTTGTCTGTTAGATCCTCCCGGGAAGTTGAAGGGGGACATGCCAACGCCGGGGCTTGCCCAAGAGCAGCCAGCACAGCCACCTGCCTGCACTTCCCGCTGCATCCCCAGGGTCTCTGTCCCTAGTCCCCACCAAACTTGGCTTCTTTGGCTCACCCAGGCTTTGAGACCCCTTTGCCAGCTCCAAGCCCTGGAAATAGTTTTTCAAATCTTTTCCGCAGCTGTGCCTGCAGAGCGTCTCTAATGCACAGCAAGACACCACAAAGAGGACACCGATCCCTGATGTGGAGACCTCCAAAACCATCTATTTCACCATCCAGTCTATGGGCCAGGTGAGTTGGCGCTCATGACCACCTCCCCTGGCGGGGCTCCAACACCAAGCAAGGAGATGGGCAAGGCCCCAGGGTGAGAGGCATAGCCCTGGAGCAGGGGGCATGGACAGACGGGGCTTCACTGGGCTTTCGTGGGGTCCAGAGCTTCAAGCCAAGCCTGTGAGTCCTGTCTTTCTTGCCAATGGAGGGATCGGCTCCCACGAGCCCAAGCAAAGCTTTTGTCCCTTTGTAATTGCAGACAGATGATGAGAAGATGGGCAACGGTGCACTGGGGTGTCAGGAGCAGGATGAGAAAACCATCTACTCATCGGTCAGCTAGCCAGACCCCTCAGCGTGGCCCTGGCACGGCTCCGTGCACCCATGAGCATGCTCTGAGCGCGATGTTCCTCTCTGCCTGGCCCCGGCCCATGGGGCTGCAGCATCCCCTCTTCCCTCCTCATCACTGCTGCCCCCCATGCGCCTGCTGTCAGCGGTCCCCAGCCATCGACGTGAGGATGTAAGCGCCCTGTAAGTGCAGGCTCATCTGGCACAGGAGCTCTGCTGGTGTTTTGGCATCCACGTGGGGTTTGGGCTCCTTTTTCTGCCCTCTCTAACCAGACCAAGGAACATGGACCAAAACTGTGGCTGCAAACCCAGCCCTCCTGGTGCAAGGACATGAACTGATGCTCCTGGGATTTGCCCAGCAGCATCTCGTGGTGCGGGGCCTCAGGACGAGAGGACGGGAAACCTCAGGGCTGCTCTCCATCCCCCAGCCTGTGCTGACACCGGGGGTTGCCCTGACCCAGGTGCAGGACCCTGCACTTGTCTTTGAACCTCATGAGGTTCACACGGGCCCCCCCCCCCAGCCTGTCCAGGTCCCTCTGGATGCCATCCCGTCGCTCAGGCGCGTCAGCCGCACCGCTCAGCTTCGCGTCATCTGCAAACTTGCTGAGGGTGCACTCGATCCCGCCGTCTGTGTCACTGATGCAGACGTTAATCAGTACTGGCCCCAGTACGGATCCCTCGGGAACCTCTTTTAAGCTTGGCGAATACTTCGGCTGCTTCATTTTGTTGCTAAACCAAGAGAAAGCAAAAGTAACCCTTTGTGGTAGAAAGCTGGATAAGGAAAGCCACGTACTTCTGCCCGGGTGCACACACCCAGGCTGCTGCAGTTTCAGTGCCGGCTGCTTTCCCCAATGCTCGCTGCTCCCGGGCCTGCTGAGGGCTTTCCAAACCTCGCAGCACCCCGGCACCATGCTCAGCATCGCTTTATGCCGCCAGCGCGCTGCTTGTGGTCCCCGGAGACGCTGCAGGGCCGTGCTGGGCTCCAGGGGCAGGAGATGGTCTGGGCTTGGGGGGAAACAGGACAAGGAAGGGGGCTGGTGCTGTTCTGCTCCGCTCCTTTGATGTGTTTGTATGTGAGGTTTTATTTTTGGTTTACATATTTGTATGTGAAGTGCTGTGTTTCTGGTGTTAGGCGGCTTCCCAGCGGAGCTCTAGGGAGGAGAGCGGCTGTCCGAGCCCCGAGCGATGCAGGGATACTGCACGGCGCGGTAGCGGCCGCATCCCACCGGGATGCACGGCCTGCAGCAGGGTCTGCGTGGGTTCACCCCGAGCTGGGACTTACGGGGACCTGGGTGCCCAGCAAGCAGGGCCCAGGGCACATCCCCACCCTCCCTGCTCCCCAAACCCACCCAGAGCCTGAAAACTGAGCAAAACACACACGTTGGCATTAATTTTCCAGTGCCGCCGGACAGACAGACGCTGTCCACACTGGGAAGCCTCTTCCCGTGCGTGCTGCTTCCCCCTGCTCTTTGTCTTGTCTGTGCGGATAGTAAATTATTCAGGGATGAAACCGGAGATTTCTTTGAAGTGCCTGGCACAGGAGAGCCCTCTAGGAGCTACTGGAATAAAAATGCAAGACACATCTGGGCTCAATTTCTGGCTGCAGATTATTTTGGGTGAAAACAGCCCATTCCTGACAAGCCCGTGGAGTCATTTGTTTATTCTCTGCATTTTCACAGTAGGTGACAGGCTTGGTTTTGAGTTCCTCAAATGCATGCTGATCAATTAAAAATATATACCTCAGTGGGCCATGCATTTTACCCACTGGTAAATGGGGGTAAAGAAAGGATTTGTCTGTGCCCTGGACAGGGCTTAAACCAGCAGTGATGGCACCAGGGACTGGCCTGAAGGGAGCTGGGGCAGTGCTGGGGCATCACCTCCTCCTTCGCCCACGCCTACGGCTGACGGAGCTCTGTCCCTTACTCCAGTCATAGCCCCAGAAATGACGGTCAGGACCGTTTCTGGCCATTAATCACCCTACTTCTGTGCCAACACCTTTGAGCTTGCAGGAAGCCATTGGTCAGGCAGAAAGGGGAAGGAAGACATTGCAAGAGGGGGAACGGCGGTGGAAGGGTCGGTGGGGCAGAGGAGGATGGAGCCGAGAGGCGTCGGGACGGGGTGGCTCTGCGTCGCGGTGCTCTGCTCTGGAGCTGGTGAGTGGGGCTGGGGGGCTGGCGTGGGGTCCGGGGGCTCCCTCCATCTGTGGGGCTGGAGGGAGGAGGAGGAAGGGGTGATGCGAAGGCAGCAGGTACAATGATGCCTTTCTTGGGGGGACCCTTTGCGGCAGAGCGGGATGCTTGCCCGGCCGTTTTGTGGCAGGCAAGGCTCAGGCCGCCTGCTTTATTGCTTGGCTTAGGTCTGGCTCAGGTCTGGCTCACGTGGGGAGGAGGATTGGGGGTTCCTGGGCTCTCCCAGCACCGAGCTGTGCTGCAAATCTGAGCCCTGGGCTCCCCCGCTCCTGCCCAGCCCTTCGCGGGCCAAACGGCAGGGATGCTCGCTGACCGCCGGGCCCCTTTCACGGCCGGGAGCGTAGTGGCTGTGGGCTGGTTTGCTTGGGGACACCATTTCGCCACTGCCGAGCGCCGGTCCGCGCAGGCACCGCTGCCAGTTGCCCAACCTCCGGCAGCGTCAGCGTGACGCTGCCTGGCAGCGTGTGGCCATGCATGGCTTCCAACAAGCCCCTGGCGTCCACCGCTGCTGCCATCAGCACCTTCTTCGTTAGCGGGGCTTTGTCTCGGCGGAGCCGCGTGGGAGAGCGGTGTGAAACCGGCTGCTCGCCGCCCCGGCAGGATGTGGGACGGCAACGCCCGCTGCTCCGCTGGCATCCGCCAGCCGCTCAGGTGATGGCCCCCCAGCCCCCCACCTCCGTCTCAAGCCACCTGAGGCTGGAGGGACGTGGGTCAGCCATTTCTTGCCCCTGCCTTGCCTTTCCCTAAGCCACGGTGCTGCCGTGCAGGCTGAGCTCCTGGTGCAGGACAACGTTGGGCCAGTGCCGCTCCCAGCTCTGTTCCTGATCCTTGGAGGCACCTCTAGCTTGGGGAGGCATTAACACGAATTAATGACCCTCGATCCCAGCTCTCGTCCTCAAAGAGAAGGAGCCAGGGCATCAAAGCACCACGCAGCGTGATGGCGTCCTGGAGCCCAGGCATGAAAGCACCACGCAGCGTGATGATGTCCCGCAGCCCACCGGAGACCCCACCACAACCACCGGGGATGTGGACAAGCTGACGACGCAGCCAATGGTCACCCCAACCCCTCCTTGGACCAGGGACCCCATCACCACCCCCGTGCCGACACAAGCTGGCGCCATGGGGAACAAAACCCGTGAGTCCCATGGAGAAAGGAAGAGATGTGGCTTGGGGACGTGCCACCATCCTTGGAGGGTCCTGCATCCCCCCAGGACCCCCCCAGCATGCCCACATCTCCTCTCTCTTCCCATAGAAAATGCATCGGCTGTTCCCGTCAGGTACTGGTCCCCTGTCATTTTTGTGGTGGTGGCTCTGCTCGTGCTCTTCTTCACCTACCGGCGGACCAAGGGGGAAGGTGAGCTCCCCCACCGCAGCACCCAGAGCTCTGCCTTCGCTCAACCACGCGCTGGCTTAGCAGGAAAATGTGTCAACTATCTCACAGCCCACATCCTCAAAACATCAAGAACTGCCGCAAAAAGTCAGTTATTCTCATGTGGCGCGATGATGGGGGTATGTGTGGGGGTGTGTGTGGCTTCATGCTGGGGGGGGCAGGATCAGGCCCTCGCACCAGCCAGAGGCTGTCCCCAGAAACCCCTTTGGCCACGGCTTAGCCCCACGGTGAGGCTTCCCCCTTGCTCATATCTGGCTTTAAAAGTCCAGAAGTTTAACCCGTAACTCCCTTTTCTGCTCAATTCTACCTCTCTCGGTGCCAGCTCTGCCCTTTCCCCCTGGGGCTTCTCCTTCTCTGCTTTAACACAAATCTCGAGCTTGAGGAATTTTTTTTCCTCCTGCAAAGCAAACCCGAAAGCTGGCCCGCTCAGCCCCCCACTGCCCCCTTCCCCGGAGGGCTTTGCTGGGCTTTTTTTGCAAAGCCCGCTCGGCCCCGCTGTTTTAACCCCGTCTGCCTGGCCCGCAGGGAGCCAGGACCAAGCCGCCTGGGCCAGCGACTCCTCAGGTGAGGCTGGGCCAGTCCGAGCCCCACGAGGCCGGGGCATCCCGGTACGCCATCGCTGACCCGCTCTCAGGGCCGTGATTCACATCCCAGCTCGTTGCATTGCAGATTTGGGAGCCCTGGACCACCTCCCAGTCCAGGACACCGCCCCAATAATCCCCACTTCCCAGGTAAGCCCGGCTGATGGGGATCCTCTTCCCGGTAACGCGTGAGCTGGGAGGGCTGAGAGCTGCTTTTCAGTCCCTGCGTGGCTTTGAGCAAACCCCAGCCGTGCCTCACTTTCCCCATCTCAGGCGAGTGCTGAGGATGCTCAGAGCAGCTCCTCAAGCAGTCGCTGCCGCTCTTACAGGAGGAGAGGAAGGGGGCAGAGAAACCCCCGGCCCTGGAGCACACCGAAACCTGCTTCTGCGAGCCGGACCCCCCGCCGCCCCAGGTATTTCACCCCAGTGCCCTGAGCCCCGGTGCCCAGGGTGGGCTGGGGGGGCTGCCAGCGGGGCCCCAGCCCCTCCAGCCCATGGGGGTCCCTGGGGAGGGTCCGTAGCCCCCCCCCCGAGCACCTGATTTTGCTTCTCCCCAGCCTGATACCCCCACAGCCGCCCATGGTCCCTGCTGCTCCGGGGAGCCCGGTGCCGACTGAGGGCTCCTGGGGGAGCCCAGTGGCTTCCAGACGCCCCCAGGGAGCAGGAGGCCACCCCAAGGGGCAGAGCGGGGACCGAGCCGGACGATGCTCCCAGCCGGGGACCACGAGCATCGTGTGTCGCCTTGGCCCCTTTCTATGGATGCTCGAGCCCAAATCCCGGTGGGAACGGGGAGCTGCGTGGGAGAGGGACCCCCGTGGCCGTGCTGTGCCCCGTGTGCAAGGATGGGGGCTCGGGGTGCCTGCGCTGGGCACGGCCGAACCAATAAAGCAGGATTTCACCCCAGAAGGCCTGGACTTTCTCTGGCAGGACAGGCGGCACCCCCTGCCCAGCCCCGCCGTCACTTTTTCCTCCTCTGGTGGAACAGAGCAGGGGCGGCTGGCACCAGCCCACGCCAAGGCGGCCGGGGAAGGAGCTTGTGCTGCTCGGTTACAGATGACTGTTGAACTCATCACAGGGCAAAGCTGGGGCGAGGGCTGGAAATAAACACCCCCGGGAGCCCCGCTGCCCCTGTGGGTGACGTGCCCTGGGAGAAGCAAGAATGTCCGCAGGGAAAGGAGGAGCCTGGGGGGGCCCTGAGCTCCAGCGACCCCCCCCAACTCCCGCCGTGCACGCACCGCAGGCGGCCGGCTCCTGTCCCCGCTGCTGGGGACAGCGCTGCAGCGGCCCTGACCTGCCTCAGTTTCCCCTCGCTCTGCCCCCCCCACCCACCGCAACCTTCCTGCGAG